CCCCCTAACCCTGACTTTGCTGACCCTGATCCCGACCCTGATATTCTTTAACGTGCTCTGTTGCTCTTTCGCCTTTGTTTCTTCCTTGTTCTCTGTTTTTGTCCTTTCTCTTCTCGTCGTTGTCCATTCTTCAATGGAACGTTCGAGGTTATTACGCCAATTTCCTCGAACTCCAACTTCTGATTTCGCGGTTTTCGCCCCTTTGTGTCTGTCTCCAGGAGCCAATGCTTGGTGCTCGTCCTGGTCGTTTTCGTGGCTATTCCTTTCTCTCCCCCCCCCCAGCCATTGCTGGGGCTTCTAATTCTTCTGCTCTTTTGATTCGGGCTGATGTTCCCTTTGTTCCTTTACTTTTTCCTTCGCCTCTCCATTGTTCTGCTGCTCGTATCTTTGTGGGGAAATGGTACACAGTTTGTTCCATTTATCTCCCCCCGAGTGTCCCGCTCTCTCTTCCTGATTTGAAACACCTCCTGGACTCCTTGCCGGAGCCTGTGCTCCTGCTGGGTGACTTCAATTGTCGTCATTCTCTTTGGGGTGACGTTCTGACGAATACCCGGGGTCGCCTCCTTGAGCCGTTTCTCCTCTCTTCTTCCCTGTCTCTTCTGAATTCTGGTGAGCCCACTCATTTGGACTCTCGAACTCGCACCCTTTCTTGTCTTGATCTTTCTCTCTGCTCTTCTTCTCTTTACTTAGATTTCACGTGGCAGGTTCTTGATGACCTCCATGGAAGTGATCATTTCCCCCATCCTTGTTTCCTTTTTCTCTTTTCGCCCTTCCCTCTCTTTCCCTAGGTGGCAGTTTGCTAAGGCAGACTGGACCCTATTTACCCTCAGTGCTGCTCTCCCTGACCTCTCCCTTCTGCCTCTCTCTCGCGCTCTCCTCCTTTTTCATGACACTGTCTTCAACGCTGCCCTCCGCTCTATTCCTCGCTCTTCCTCTCGGGGTCCACGGAAGTGCGTTCCCTGGTGGAATGCGGACTGTGCTCGGGCTGTCCGCTGTAAGCGTGCAGCCTGGAAGAGGCACCGCCGTAGGCAGACGTCCGATTCTTTTCTTTTCTTTCGGAAAGCGAGTGCGGTGGCCCGTAGGGCCATCCGTACGGCTAAACGTGAATGTTGGGCATCTTATGTCTCGACAATTACGTCCGAGACCCCTCTGGCCCAGATCTGGAAGCGTATCCGCAAGATAGCGGGTAAGTTCGTTCCCGATGTTTCACCGGTCCTTCACCTCCATGATACTCTTGTGGCGGACCCGTTGCAGGTCGCTTCCGAACTGGGTTCCCATTTTTCTTCTGTTAGCTCTGGTCTTCATCTTCCCCAATCTTTCCTTCTTCGTAAACCTGTCCTTGAGTCTCGTCCTTTAGATTTCTGCACTCATCTTCAGCTTCCCTATAATGATCCCTTCTCTCTCTCTGAACTTCGTTCTGCCCTGGCCCTCTGCGGTTCTACGGCAGCGGGCTCCGATGGTATTCATTATGAGATGCTTCGCCATCTCCCTCCGAGCACGTCTCAGTATTTACTGAGTCTGTATAATCGGATCTGGGAGTCGTCGTCAGTCCCTGCGGACTGGCTCGATGCCGTTGTCCTCCCTGTTCGCAAACCGGGGTCTCTGGGTACTTCCCCTAAGGACTTTCGCCCTATTGCTCTCACAAGTTGTGTCTGCAAACTCTTTGAACGTATGGTTAACGTTCGTCTGATGTGGTTCCTGGAACACCATCACCTCCTCTCCCCTTCTCAATTTGGTTTCCGCAAGTGCCGCAGCACGACAGATGTCCTGGTGAACTTGGAGGTCTATATTCGTACTGCTTTTGCTGCGAAGACCTCCGTTGTTGCCGTCCTTTTTGACCTAGAAAAGGCTTACGACACCACTTGGCATTATCATATCCTATCTCAACTTCATTCTTTTGGCCTTCGTGGTCATCTCCCTCTCTTTCTCCGCAGCTTCCTCTCTCGTCGTTCCTTTCGGGTGCGCCTTGGTACCGCTCTCTCTCCCTCTTTTCAGCAATACGAAGGTGTGCCCCAGGGTAGTGTTCTGAGCACTACTCTTTTTCTTGTTGCCCTCAATGGTCTTCTTTCCTCTCTTCCTTCTGGTGTCTTCTCCGCTCTCTATGTCGATGATCTTACCCTTTGTTGTCAGGGTGATGATTCGCCTCTCCTTCAACGCCGGCTTCAACTTGCAATTGATGCCGTGTCGTCTTGGGCCACAGGTCATGGCTTCAAGTTCTCTACTTCTAAGACTTGTGCCATGACTTTTACGCGGAAACGGGTTGTTCTTCGTCCCTCTTTGTCGCTTTATGGTCATCCCCTTGAATACAAAGATTCCGCGAAGCTTTTGGGGTTATTCCTTGACACTCGTTTGTCTTGGTCTCCCCATATCTCTTACCTCCGTGTTGAGTGCTCTAAGGCCCTTACCCTCCTTTGGGTCTTGTCCCATACTTCTTGGGGGGCAGATAGGCGCGCACTCCTTGCTTTACATTCCTCTCTCGTCCTGTCTAAGCTCGATTATGGTTGCCCTGCTTACTCGTCTGCTTCTCCTTCTACTCTTCGCCGTCTTGATGCTTTGCACCATACTGGGTTGCGCCTCAGTTCTGGTGCCTTTCGTTCGACTCCCATCCTTAGCTTGTATGTTGACACTGGCTTCCTGTCTCTCCAGGACCGCCGTGATCGCTACTGTCTTCGCTATCTTGCGCGGTTCTTGCAACATCCTTCCTCTCGCCTCTGTCGTGCTTTAACTTTTACCCCTCCTGCGGTTCCTGTTCCTCTTCACCACCTCCCTCTTTCTGTCCGGTTATCTCGCCTACAGGATTCTCTCTCCGTTCGTATTTCTGATGTTTCTCCTCGTGTTGTTCCTTCTTTGCCCCCGTGGAGGGTCCCTCTTCCGCGGTTTTGTACTTCCTTGACCCGTATCACTAAAGCTTTTACCCCTCCTACGGTTCTCAAACGCCTTTTCCTCGAGCACTTTTCTTCTCACTCCCGCTCCGTTTCTGTCTTCACCGATGGGTCTAAGTCAGCGGACGGTGTTGGCTACTCTGTTGTTTTTCCTGATCGCACTTATATGTGTCGCTTGCCTCCGGAGACTAGCATCTTTACAGCAGAACTTTATGCTATTCTCTATGCTCTTCGTCTCCTGCTTTCTCGTTGTCAGTCTTTCTTTGTGGTTGTTGTTGACTCTCGTAGTGCCCTCATGGCTCTCGGGTCCTTTAATCCGGTTCATCCGGTAGTTGTCGAGATCCAGCATTGGCTGTTTCTCGTTCACAGTAAATTTAAGTCGGTTGAGTTTTGTTGGGTTCCCAGCCATATTGGTGTGTCTTTAAATGAGCGTGCGGATGCTGCCGCTAAGGAAGCTGTCCGCTCTTGTCCCATCTCTCGTAAAGGCATTCCGTATTCCGACTTTTACCCATTATCCATTCCTCAGTTCTTACCCGTTGGCAGGCTTCTTGGTTGTCTGTTACTGGTAACAAGCTACGTACTCTTAAATGTTGTGTTTCCTCGTGGCCGTCCTCCTTCCACCGTAACCGGCGGTGGGAAACAGCTCTGGCGAGGTTGCGTCTTGGCCATACTCGCTTAACCCATGGTCACTTGATGGAGCGCCGCCCTGCTCCTTATTGTCCTAGTTGCATTGTCCCTCTTACGGTCGTGCATGTCCTTCTTGAATGTCCTGACTTCCAGGACGAGCGTGTGTCTTGCTTTCCGACCGCCCCTCGCGGTCACCTGTCCCTCGATAGAATTCTTGGTGACTCGGATACTTTTGATATCGTTCGCCTTATGCGTTTTTGTTCTCGTATTGGCATCCTTGGTGATATTTAGCGCCCTCTGATTATTTTGCGTCTTTGATGGTGCTACATAGCCTTCCCGGTTTGGTGCCTTCTTTTGATAATTACTTACTTACTTGCCAACCACTCGGCGGGCAGACACCAATTGAATGCCATAAACATCCACTACAGGGATCCGCAGCATGTCACACAGCACTATCCCCACCTCAGGATAGCTAACTCGATTAGAAAATTCGAGGCCAACAGACTGGAAACACACAATAGGGGGGAGGGGGGGCCCCCATGGCGCCGACACGCCAAACAACACACTCCCACACGCAGCTCCAGGTAGCCAGTGTCATATCAACTGGTGTTTAAACCCTTAAGTTTCTATTGGTTTAGACTGTACACTTATATGTTGCTTGCTTAACACTCCTCACCTCTTTCGTTACATTCTAATTTTTCTGTTTTTTCATCAGTGTTAATGGGGCTGTTAATAGAAATTTATCTAAAGATATAAATTTGATGGTCTGAGAGAATGTAATTATTGAGTATATATATATTAGCCCCTTAACTGGTAATAATTTCCATTACTCATCTATTTGCTAGTTGTTATATAAATTATTATGCAAACTCTCTGCTGAAACTTCCACTGATGTTTATGGAATGAATTACGGATCAACATTCTCTTGAATAACATGACTGCAGTTAATTTTATAAAATATAATATTGTCACCATAAAGTTGAACAGGAAACAAGAGACAAACTTAATAGGTTTATATTTATGAAAGACCTGGGTAAATACTGGTTTGGAAACAAGGTTGATGATTTATGGAACAAATTATCTGGTAACAAATAGACGATGGATCGCTGGGTCCCCAGCCCGTCCTCCTAAGGTTTCCCAACGTCAAGAAAACGGGCAGTGTAAAGTGTCCTCTCCTAACCTACCAGACGACCCAAAACAGAAAACGGCGCAGTACATAACTTGCGTCAGCCTCTTCATTTTTTAGTACACAATTTTTGGGCTTATGTAACGCATACGCGCGAAAAGCGACGTTCTTTGTAGGAGGACATGTTGTGTTGAGAGCGCAGGTTAGTCATGTGAATGAATTTGAGTGGATATAAATAAGATCTGCCTTGTATTGTAAACAAAAGAAATGGCCTCATTTGGGCCACTATGAGCTGCCTCATAGGCCCCAACAGGCCTTCTTATTTTCCTTAATTTTTATATTTTTAAAATCCACATATGACACAGGTCGGCATATCAGCAGAGAGGGTGGCAAGGACACAGGAGACAGAGGGCGCCTGGAACCACATCTGGGAGAAGGCGCCACTGGGAGCGGGAGGCTCGCTGCTGGGGGAGCCGTGTGTCGTCAACAAGAACTGCGCTGTTACCAACGGCCAGTGTGAGAAGGGCCGCTGCCTGTGTGTGCCTCACTACCTCGCCCTCAACGCCTCACTCTGCCTCCCAGGTCCGTCTTCTTGTACAAAGTGCAATTTTTGTGAGTCATCCAGATTCTCTTTCAGCTGGTGCGTCTCCTCTCTAGGGAATACAACATAAACCCGAAAACTTGCCCGAAACGCATTGCGTAATAGTGGCTTTAGGCATTGTATGTACTAGCTCTATCTATATATCAATCCATTAATGTAACATCACTTGTATGTATGTATGTACCTTACCTGAATAAACATATTTATTTATTTATTTATTTATTTAAAGATGGCAAGGTTACTGCAGCATCTCTCGGGAACGCGTTAACACTTCTGATTCACTGGAGAGTGCGGAGAGGGCTGAGCATCTAAGTTTTCTTAACTGCCACCTTTACCATATCTACAGTGGATTGTGTTCCTCATATGTGCCCCAAAGAATGAGGTGATTTGATAAAATACCATGCCCATGATTACCAACCGAGTGCCGGCGGGGGGATGGAAACAGCCTCGGCTACCATCCTCTTATGTCCGGTCGTGTTGGTCGAGGGGTTAAGGCTTCCAGTACGCCAGATTGCAGTGCTCCTGGCAGTATGGGTTCGAGTCACTTCTGGGGTGTGAGTTTTCAGTGATTATATATATATATATATATATATATATCGAACAATAGACTATTAGGAGCACCCGAGGATGTATTATAGTTGTGTGTGGACTTCCGGGCTCCCGGGTTACAGCGGGTAGTGAGGTAAACACAATGATCGGTGTCAGTATAGTGGCTGTCCAGTAATGTAACAGTTTAAACTTTCTTGGTGTCATCCAGTCCTCGTGTGTGTGTGTGTGTGTGGGGGGGGGGGGGGAAGACACTGATATATGGAACTGTAGTTAGAGCTAATTTGTACATGAAGTAAAGGAATTAAGAATTTGCCATCACCACAACTAACATTATCATTACTCAAAGTCAAGAAAAGACTCAATATATGAATAAATGTTTTAAAAAAATAAATTTGCGGATGTAACCTAGCTACATCCTTCTTCAAGGTAATGTACACAATGTCTCGAGAAAGATTGTAGACTGCAAACAAATATTTGGTTTGTAATGCATATATACATATATTGGGCCTTTCCTTCACCTTCATTCAAGCACTACGACAGTGTAGCAAGTTTTCCCATTATCACTATTACTATCACCATCATCTATAGCGTCTCTCGTGTTAATGATCATATTACAAGATGAGAAGACCCTGATGTTCTTCAGGAGCGCTGGTGGGGTTCCCGTGTGTGGTGGACGCCCAGTGTAGCATGAGAGTGGCCAACACCGCCTGCATCCAGGGCTACTGCCGCTGTGGCGCCTCCTACGTCCCCTACCGCAGGAACAACTGTCTTAAAGGTTAGGCTTGGTGTTGGGCTTAAGGCATATATAGCCACCTCTCGACGGTTATTATAGCCTCCACAATACCTTACTGATCACCCGTCAAGTATATTGTAGTCCTGAACATTGTACAGGACTAAAGTATACTTTCAGTGGATATACACCGAGAAGCGGGGTATACTTCTCGGTGTATATATATCCCTGTGCACAATAGCTCACTGACCAACCATAAATTGTATTTTAGTCCTAAACACTAGCCATAACTAAACTAAATTAGAATTAGAAACTGTATTCGGAATAACTTACATAAATTATTACATCAAAAGTAGAATACATTTATCGGTTCCTGTATTCCATCTTGGTCAAATCATTTCTAAATCGTTGGACCAACTTGTAAGAGGTGAGTCACAGTGTAACACAACACTGCTTAGTGATACTCTGCACCTAGAGGAAATCTACTGAAATTACCTTATTAAACTTCCTTGTCGTATATCAGAGCTAATGTGTGTTAAGCTACAAACATTAAACATGAAGGAATGTGAAAAATAGAAAAAATGGCATGAGGAAAGCCTATAACAAAGTTTGTTAAGGATAACGCGAAACCAGCCAACTTCAGCTAGGCTACCTGCCGGTAAATCTAGAGAAAAAATATTCAGTAAAAAGCATATTAGTATATTTTGGTAGTAGTCTTTCTTGTAAACATATGTTGTTGAATATGACCGAAAAAGTAAGATTAATAATTCTAACACGAATTTTTTCAATATTTCTTATGTTTTTCTTCACTGTCGGTGGTAATGAAAATATCAATTCTCCAAAATTCATCTTTTATTAATGGTCTGACGCTTGGAAGCGTTTCGTAAGGGCTTCTTACATTCTCAAAGACTTCTTTACACTTAACACTACTCTTATGAACCACATTTATGATACACTGTGTATAAAACATTTGACATAACCAGATTACCCACCTCACCCAAACAGTTTTTTTTTGGTTTGGGCGAGGTGGGTATTGAGTGAGGTGGGTACATGAGAATGGAAGTAACTGCAGAGGGCCTATTGGCTCATACGATGCACTGAAGTGGGTAGAATATAGTTGTGCATTAATTGTCTGTTGATTGCTGGTGTTGACTTTTTAATGTGTAGTGCCTCGCTGATGTCGAGCCGCCTGCTATCGCTGTACCTATCGATGTTGTTGTTTGTTAAGATTTCTCTGGCGATGGTCTGGTTGTGAGAAGAGATTATATGTTCCTTGATGGCGCCCTGTTGCTTATGCATTGTTAGTCGCCTGGAAAGAGATGTTGTCTTGCCTATATACTGACTTCTCTGGGGCTTACAGTCCCTAAGTGGGCATTTGAAGGCATAGACGACGTTGGTCTCCTTCAAAACGTTCTGCTTGGTGTCTGGGGAGTTTTTCATGAGTAGATTGACCGTTTTTTTTGTTTTATAATAAATTATCAATTGTATTTTCTGTTTTTTGTCTGTAGGGATAATGTTCCTATCAACAATATCTTTCAGGACCCTTTCCTCCGTTTTATGAGCTGTCGAAAAGAAGTTCCAGTAAAATAGTCTAATAGGGGGAGGTTTTCGTTGAAGACATCATAAAAAACAAAGGTGAAACGCCTTGCAACCTTTGAAAAGTCAACCAACACGACACTTGTACCCCCTATTAGACTATTTTACAGGCACTTCTTTTCGACGGCTCATAAAACGGAGGAAAGGGTCCTGAAAGATATTGTTGATAGGAACGTCATCCCTATCATCGAAATACAGCGATAGCAGGCGGCTCGACATCAGCGAGGCACTACACATCAAAAAGTCAATACCAGCAATCAACAGCCAATTAATGCACAACTATATTCTACTCACTTCAATGCATCGTAATGGCCAATAGGCCCTCTGCAGTTACTTCCATTCTCACCCACCTCACCCAAACCAATAAAAAGCGAGGGTTATGTCAAACGTTTCATACACAGTGCATCGAGTGTATCATAAATGTAGTTCATTTATGTGTAGTGTAGTGTAGTTCATTTAAGTGTAGTGTTAAGTGTAAAGAAGTCTTAATACTACACTTAATGTAAGAAGCCCTTACGAAACGCTTCTAAGCGTCAGACCATTAATAAAAGATGAATTTTGGAGAATTTATATTTTCATTACCACCGACAGTGAAGAAAAACATAAGAAATATTGAAAAAAATTGTGTTAGAATTATTAATCTTACTTTTTCGGTCATATTCAACAACATATGTTTAAAAGGCATATACAGTATATACCAAAAGTTTTTTTTAAAGAAAAACAAGTAAAGCACAATGAGAGGCTTGAGAACCTTGACTTGCAAAGCACACACTTCTAAAACTTGTGGAAGGAACCAACACGACCACGGCATGGCGGGCGTGGCGCCAGTCACCTCGCCGAGGAGAAGGGACACAAATTGGCTCTCCTGGCAATTCAATTTGCATAAACTTGATTCATTGTTTGGGAGGTTAACATTTGTTTGGTTTTAATTTTGACTTAGTAACTAGCATTGACCATTGGCAGTATCCTCAAGATTCTGATCTTGTTTACATTTTAATCAAATATTTTTAGATAATTATTTTAATCATATTTTTATCTTGAATGATGAAATCATTCTTTTTTTGTTGTCATATGACAGAATATATTTTGTTGTCATATGACAATATATTTTGTTGTCATATAACAGAATATATTTTGTTGTCATATAACAGAATATATTTCGTTGTCATATGACAGAATATATTTTGTTGTCATATGACAATATATTTTGTTGTCATATGACAGAATATATTTTGTTGTCATATAACAGAATATATTTTGTTGTCATATGACAGAATATATTTTGTTGTCATATGACAATATATTTTGTTGTCATATAACAGAATATATTTTGTTGTCATATAACAGAATATATTTTGTTGTCATATAACAGAACATTCCACAAATAACATCTAGCGGCAATTCAGATCATAATTTTTCATCAATAGATGGAATGTTTTCACAATTATCTATAATATTATGCCATATGTTGCTTAAAAATTTGGTGTTGGTGGGCTTGAGGCAGGTTAGGTTATAAAAGCCACCATAGTACTCTACTGCCTAGTAGCAAATATCCTGCCATGATTAGTTTGGTATGATGATGGTCTTAAGGACTATCAACTGCACGAGAGTAATTAAGGCCGTCACACTAGTTCACTGACTAACCAGCGGCTTTCTGTCCCTGTCGAGGCCACTAGATAGTAGCCCTCAGGTAAATTCAGGTACACTTAAGAGCTTAATGATGATAATATAAGTGTTAATTATTGACAATCTTTTTCCTCTGACGAGGCACCAGCGCCCGATTTTTGTGTGCGTTAACAATGATGTGGTGGCGGTGTGACGCCACATGATGTGGTGGCGGAGTATCGCCACATGATGTGGTGGCGGTGTGACGCCACATGATGTGGTGGTGGTGTGACGCAACAATGATGTGGTGGCGGTGTGACGCTACAATGATGTGGTGGCGGTGTGGCTAACAATGATGTGGTGGCGGTGTGATGCCACAATGATGTGGTGGCGGTGTGATGCCACAATGATGTGGTGGCGGTGTGACGCCACAATGATGTGGTGGCGGTGTGACGCCACACGATGTGGTGGCGGAGTATCGCCACATGATGTGGTGGCGGTGTGACGCCACATGATGTGGTGGCGGTGTGACGCCACAATGATGTGGTGGCGGTGTGACGCCACAATGATGTGGTGGCGGTGTGGCTAACAATACTGTGGTGGAGGTGTGGGACTGCACAATGTTTGCCCAGCACAAGCCGGCATGACTGGTCCAGGAAGTTCCCCCCAGCAGTCAATCCCACGCTCTATACCGGCTTTATTTACTTCATCGGTCGACTTCTTACATCAACGTACTCCCTCTTCCTCTCATCTTGTATCATATTTCTTCAAATATAATAATAATAATAATTTATTTGCATGAAGGTACAATGGGTTGGTGAGATTACATAAGAATGGTATGTTTACATTCATGCAAAGCCTAATATACGCGAGCACATCAAGAAATATATCACCAGAAATAAATACATATATATATATAAATACAAATATATCACCAGAAATAAATACAGTTTTGATATTCCTAGAGTACGACTTAATCAAACTAGAAATGCTCTACAAATCAAGGGGCCCAGAATGTGGAATGACCTTCCCAACCATGTTAAAGACTGTACCTCTCTCAACCAGTTTAAGTTAAAAGCGAAGCTATACCTAATAAATTCCCTGTAACCTACCTTACCCTTCTATTGTCAACCAATGTCTGTTTTTTTCCTTAAAGAGCGCTGTTTGTCGACATAATTGTATTTGTGCTGCTTTTTCATCTACGTTTTCATTTCTTGTTTTCATTCTACTCATTATGCTCAATTAGTATTAAGCTTGTCATTTAAGTTTATCATGCCCGAAACGCTTTGCGTAATAGTGGCTTTAGGCATTGTATGTACTAGCTCTACCTATAAGTCAAACAATCCTTGTAAATATTGTATGTATGTATGTACCTTACCTAAATAAAATTGTATTGTATTGTATTGTATATGCCAAGACGGGTGTATCTCAGAGTTTATTACTGGTCCCAGGCTGCTTGGGATTAAAGTGTGCTTGCAAGTTAGAAATTACAATTGATGTCGTTATTAATGATGGCTGCCGATGGCGTAGAATCATGAAATCTAATCCTGTGTTTCTAATCAAAGCTTGTGTTTGTCACTCCATGGTTCTTGTCAGTAACTGGTCAACCCATCCACCTGTTTAGAGAGTACGTTTTGTAACTATGTGCACCATAGTTTAAACATTGACGTACGAAGTAATTAGATAGCAGAATTTGGTACTATTCGCTTTATAGTTCGGAAAAAATAAGCTAAAAACTAATTTAAATACTCTTAGGCCTAGTATAGCACACATGTGTACTATATTAGGCCTCAGACAGCATGCAGTAGGTTAGGTTAGGTTAGTTTTAGTTGTCGTTGCAACATAAAAACGAAACCTTTTCCGGTTTGTCCAAATTTAATAGTACAGATTTCAACTTTTAATTGAGTTGTACGTCGATAAATGCACCATGGTCCTCATCGTTACTATAAGTACTACTACTATAACCAGTTCATCTCTCACCCCTTACCCTGACCCCTCTCACCACTGCCGCCCCTTATACCTGCCCCTGACAACTCTTCTTCTCCACCAGGGGCGAGGGTAGGCGACATGTGCAGAAGCCATCAGCAGTGCCAGGAAGGCAACCGTGACAGCTTTTGTAACTTCACAGTGCCACGGGTATACGGTCGATGCCAGTGCTCGAGCGACGCTCCCACACACGGGAAGACCTGTGGCCACCTGCGGTATTGTGAGTATTGCTGTCCATGTCTTCACTTGTTCTGTCCACCTCCTGTCCGTTCCCCACCTCCCTGTCAGTCACACACCTGCTCTGCAACACAACGTGACTTAACTCCCAAATATCCATGTTATCAATTGACTAGTGAATGTAATATATTGGGTCATATATTCCCTACACCTGTTTTATCATCCCCATTATGACCTCTTGTAATCTGTTTCTCTTTCCTGACACTCTCCAGTCTAGACGCTACAAACCATTCAATGGATATGTAATTTTTAATGCAATCATATCCTAGTTAATGTACCTGGTTCATCTGAAACGCTACAATATAAAAAATAGCCTATTTTACCTGGTATACATGAAATACAAGAATATTTTTATTTTTTATTTTATTTATTTATATATACAAGAAGGTACATTGGGTTTGTGAGAATACATTGGATAGTACAGTAATTACATTCTTGTAAAGCCACTTTAGTAGCCACTAAAGCCACTAAATACTTTAGTTTATCTGCCACAAATCATATTCTAGAAAGAATATACCTCATTTATTTGCACGTTTGTGCCAGTGTGCCGTGAAGACTGAGCACACAACGGGGACCGTTTGGGCAACCTCTCAGATAGTTCTGAAACAATCCGTCATTATGTTAAGTTTTTACCTTTTAATCTGATTAAATATAATAATGATAAAAACATTATTTGCAAGAAGATACAATGGATTTGTAATATTACATAACATTGATATTTTTTACATTCTTGCAAAGCCGCTAACACGCATAACGTTTCGGGATGGGATATTGTGTTAGCTTGTTAATTATTGTTATTGTGTTCTGTTGAAACTCAGTGTTTGAAAAGAACTGGGAGGCCCTCAGTGTTTCGCAAGCATCATACAAGGTCAGGTACGATACCTTCAGTGTTTCAGATTCACTCTCACGCAGCTCACATCTCTTCAGTCTTGTTTAGTGCCATTATTTAGATTCAGATTCAGATTCAGATGTTTATTCAGGTAAGGTATATACATACAAGTGATGTTACATTAATGGATTGATATATAGATAGAGCTAGTACATACAATGCCTAAAGCCACTATTACGCAATGCGTTTCGGGCAAAAAATTTACTTTGTTTACAACAGCATAGTCATTAACGCGGGTACTCCAGTTCAGAAATCATTTAGAAAAATCCTCAGAAATAATGGTAGACGGGCCTTTGACATGTCACCGGCTTTCTGTCCTCGTGAAGTTAGTAAAGATGGGCTTCAAAGATGTATTTAAGGTAAATTCTCAATTCTCACCTTTGGTTTTCTCTCCAGCTCTGGGTTCGCCGTGCGGTACGACTGCCCAGTGCAGCTCCCAGGTTCTGGGGTCCGTCTGTGTCATCCAGAACTCCGCTCAGCTGCAAGCACTCACAGACATTAGCGCCAACAGCATCACTGCCATTCCTGGGATACCACCAACGCCTCTAGGAGTGCCTCTGGCTGTCTGCGCGTGTCCCCCCGGCCATCTAGTGGCAGAAAACGGAACGCGGTGTATTCCTGTTCTTAAAGGTGGGTTTTCAAGGGTGACTGCGTCGTGGGTGTCCTTTTTGTTCCTAAAAATTGAGGGGTCTGTGTTCCCTTAACAAGTACCTCCATTGGCGCCTTCACCTTCGAATGTAGTTATCTAAATTATACTGACAGAGGTCGTTGTAATATTTTCATATGCGTTATAATACAAAATATTGAAATATTATTAATATACATATGGACTAACATAACAGCCCCCCTTTCCTCTGGTATAATCACTGACAGAACAACCAATCACTATCCTACCTTCCTCTCGGCAAACACGGACATAACACCCTCAGTTACCAATAGTAAAGTAAATTTTATTCAGGAAAGTTCATACATAGTTGATTTACAAACATATTGTTGGATGTATAGATAGAGGTAGTACATACAATACCTAAAGCCACTAGTACGCATAGCGTTTCGGGCAAGGTGAGGTGGGGAAAAAACACTTAGACCAAAACTTAATATAGTAATTGAGCTTAAAGTATAAAATGCCTTGAAAAAAAATAAAAGATAAAAAAGGGGGGAACTTGGTAGAAAATAGTTAATATACAAGTTGGTCAACAAACAGCATTGTTTAAAAATAGTAAGACATGGGTAAGACAATAAATAACTCGACTTGAATGAATATAAAAATAATAAATAGAAGATAAATAAAGACAATAAATAGAATCGACTTGAGAATGGTCCAGGACGGACCGAAACGTTGTCGTCCCTTCAATTTCTAGTGTGTGGTCTGGTCAACATACTTCAGCCACGTTATTGTGACTCATCGCCTGCAAATAACTTGCCATTAGACTCCACAGCAAACCAGCAATAGTGAACCTCATAAATAAACTTCACAATATAAACTGGGAATCTGAATTCAGTAATACACAGGATATAAATGAATTAGGCGACATCTTTCTCTCCAAAACTCTAAACCTCCACAACACACACTGTCCTCGCCTCGCTAAGCCTCCACAACACACACTGTCCTCGCCTCGCTAAGCCTCCACAACACACACTGTCCTCGCCTCGCTAAGCCTCCACAACACACACTGTCCTCGCCTCGCTAAGCCATCCACAACACACACTGTCCTCGCCTCGCTAAGCCATCCACAACACACACTGTCCTCGCCTCGCTAAGCCTCCACAACACACACTGTCCTCGCCTCGCTAAGCCATCCACAACACACACTGTCCTCGCCTCGCTAAGCCATCCACAACACACACTGTCCTCGCCTCGCTAAGCCATCCACAACACACACTGTCCTCGCCTCGCTAAGCCATCCACAACACACACTGTCCTCGCCTCGCTAAGCCTCCACAACACACACTGTCCTCGCCTCGCTAAGCCATCCACAACACACACTGTCCTCGCCTCGCTAAGCCATCACAACACACACTGTCCTCGCCTCGCTAAGCCATCCACAACACACACTGTCCTCGCCTCGCTAAGCCTCCACAACACACACTGTCCTCGCCTCGCTAAGCCTCCACAACACACACTGTCCTCGCCTCGCTAAGCCATCCACAACACACACTGTCCTCGCCTCGCTAAGCCATCCACAACACACACTTTCCTCGCCTCGCTAAGCCATCACAACACACACTGTCCTCGCCTCGCTAAGCCATCCACAACACACACTGTCCTCGCCTCGCTAAGCCTCCACAACACACACTGTCCTCGCCTCGCTAAGCCTCCACAACACACACTGTCCTCGCCTCGCTAATCCTCCACCACACACACTGTCCTCGCCTCGCTAAGCCATCCACAACACACACTGTCCTCGCCTCGCTAAGCCATCCACAACACACACTGTCCTCGCCTCGCTAAGCCTCCACAACACACACTGTCCTCGCCTCGCTAAGCCATCACAACACACACTGTCCTCGCCTCGCTAAGCCATCCACAACACACACTGTCCTCGCCTCGCTAAGCCATCCACAACACACACTGTCCTCGCCTCGCTAAGCCATCCACAACACACACTGTCCTCGCCTCGCTAAGCCACCCACAACACACACTGTCCTCGCCTCGCTAAGCCATCACAACACACACTGTCCTCGCCTCGCTAAGCCATCACAACACACACTGTCCTCGCCTCGCTAAGCCATCCACAACACACACTGTCCTCGCCTCGCTAAGCCTCCACAACACACACTGTCCTCGCCTCGCTAAGCCATCACAACACACACTGTCCTCGCCTCGCTAAGCCACCCACAACACACACTGTCCTCGCCTCGCTAAGCCATCACAACACACACTGTCCTCGCCTCGCTAAGCCATCCACAACACACACTGTCCTCGCCTCGCTAAGCCACCCACAACACACACTGTCCTCGCCTCGCTAAGCCAGTAACTACCAAAACATTAAACAACCCCCTGGCTCAAAAGTTGTATTTTCTATTTTATTTTATTGATATATATACAAGAAGGTACATTGGGTTGATGAGAATACATAGCATTCATGTTTTTACATTCTTGTAGAGCCACTAACAAGCGCAGCGTTTCGGGCAGGTCCTTAATATAACAGATAATGTTAAGTAGGTAATTTGTAGCAATATATAAAAATGATAACAGATACATTGTAAGAAAATTTAAAGAAAGTTTGTAAGTACATTATAGTAAAATTTGGGGATCATCAACAGTTACATTGTAGCATAATTTGAGGATTATTTCTAGGAACATTGTACCTACATACACAAGAAACACGAATATGAAAAAAACAGAATTGGCCTAGTTACAAAAGAAGAACTCATAAATGCTTACCAATATAATACGAAGAGCCAAACTTTCATTTCATGAGAATAGATTTAAAGAATCAAAAGGAAATATGAAAAGTACATGGAAAGCCATCTCAAACATCCTAGGGACTGAACAACAATCACATGACAAGCAGATAAGACTCTCCAAGGATGGAAAGCCATCTCTAACATCCTAGGGACTGAACAACAATCACATGACAAGCAGATAAGACTCTTGTGACGGTAACGCGTTGGTGTTCGGCTGTTCAAAGCTAGGGGTATGGCCTCGTCACATAGAATAAAAAAAAAATAGAAAATCTGGAACTTCGTCTGTGGTAAGGTAAGGAGAAGACACACAAAACACAAGTAAATTTTAACAATGAAATTTTAATTACGTTAAATAAACAAAACATGAATAAAATGGACATACAAATTCGTATAATAAAATCAATCAAAATAATAAGAATAAGTAAATGACAAAATGAAAAGTTACGTTAAGACAAGTGAGCAATAACAAGCTGTGCAATATATAATAAAATGAGAGGTGCGGGAATATTGGCTTTAAGCTATCACCTCTCTTAGTACACTTAAGCCAAAGCTCAGTCTACCAGGAAGAAGTGTTAACCGTATGAAAGCACTGAATATTCTGAGGACTGAGGTCGTGGCGGCCCCAGACATCAAGTAGTATGGGGGGGTGGAGTGCAGTTGCAGCCAGACCGGCGGCCAATCAGCGAGTAGCCGGCAACAAGACAGGTAGTTTGGCGGTTTGAGGCTGAGCAGGTGTCCCTGGCTGCATACGTTTTGCGCTCTGGCAAACCTTGGAGATGTTGTTGTCGTTGTTGGACATTTCTTCCATAGTAGTTTTATATATTTGTTGCGACGTATTTTTGGAGGGAAGAGCAGGCTCAATCTCTTGAAGGAGATTATCGTCACAACTCTCCCCCGAAGCCTGCGGTTCTGGAAGAAGTACGTCGTTATGTGGTGGAGTAATGGATGGAGTCACTTCTACTTCATAAACTCTGGAGAGATCATTGGCTAAGATGTTGTCGGAATCTTGGTATAGTGTGTCTCCAGGTTGAATTTCTGCAGTTAGCAAACCCATAGTAGAAGACGTTGAGATGAGAAGTGGGCATGCTGCAGGAGGTGTAGGGTGGTGTGGTCCGTGTTGATGGTGGGCCGAGCACTTTTCAGGTGTGGAGTGAAGTGCTGGAGCTTCAGGATGATGAAGAGTAGCTCCTTGCCAATTGTTCCGTAGTTCCTTGTAGCAGTAGTCGCTGACAGGTGTATTCTCCTCGCCTCGTTGCTGCATCACGACACCACCAACGTCGGTACCACTAGCGTCGACATGGAGGATGAAGGGCTTATCTGACGAGGTGAGAGTGGAATTAGAATAGGGCAAAGGAGCACGATTATTATCCTGAAAGTATTTGGGAAGATCATTAAGGAATTCGGAATTAGAAAGCGCTGACTCCTTGTCAGTGCTTTCGGGAGGAGAAGCTGGGAAGGTCTCACTGTGGATGTAGGGTTCTGTGAAGGTAGAACAGTTAATCAGGACAGTGGGAGGAGTACCATTATATTGCTTCAGGAGGTTGACGTGGCACAGCTGGGTCTTCCGCCGCCTATCTGGAGTCTCTATGACGTAGTTGTTGTTATTTCTGCACTCTTTGACGCGGTAGGGTCCTGAAAACCTGTTTTGTAAAGGTGAACCTGGGATAGGGAAGTATGCTAGAATGAAGTCTCCTGGCTTAAATGTTCGTACTTTGCTGGTCTGGTCGTAATGAGTCTTCATCCTCCTGGGCTTTCAATAGATTATCATGGGCAAAGCGGTGGACTCTCTCTAGAATGTGTTGAAGGTTTTGAAGAAACTGGGGCACATTCTGATGCTCACTGAAGGTGGCATCTCGGAGAGAGTCTTTGAAAGCCTTAAGGGGAGTACGGCACTTACGGCCGTAGAGCATCTCATAAGGAGATACTCCTAAGGACTCATTGGGGAGACTTCTGTAAATACACATTATAAGGTCAATCTGCTTATCCCAATCCTTAGAGGTTTCACTACAAATCTTTTTCAAGAGTGCTTTGATAGTCTGATGACTACGTTCAAGAGAACCCTGTGAAGCAGGATGATAGGGGCTGGACAATACCTGTTTGATGTTGAACTCCTCCAGTGTCCTTTTGAAGAGATCACTGGTGAAGTTGGTGCCACAGTCACTTTGAATCTCCCTGGGAAATCCGTATTGAGTGAAGATCTTCAATAGATGTTTTATAAC